CATCCAACATGATTTTTAAATCATTTAACCAAAGATCTGCCGCAACCGGACCTTCTTCGGTTTCTCCCTTAAATTCAGGAGCTCCTGAACCTCTCAACTCTTTTTCTACATTCATCATTTGAGTTGGTGGAGCAGGAGGTTGAAGACGCGTTAGAATAGCGTCTAACGTTCTGAAGAACATATCTTGATCTTGTACAGGCACTCCTTGAGATGCTGTTCTTCACCTTGCCTGGCCAGGGCAGGTGAATTACTACTTTCAGCAGGCCTATCTTCTCCCGCTTCACTTCGGGAGCTATTATGTCCGGACTAATAAGAATAAACACATTGTTTCTATTAGCAAAAACAACATACTCATACTATACCAGATCAGAAGTTCTCACTATTGTTGGCATGTATCCATTTAAAGACTCTATAGACTCTGGTTTATGCCTAGAATCGGCTAAAACATAGCTCTGATACCATTAAATGTAACACCCCCAACCCGTATCCCAACCCGGATACGAGTCAGAGATATTACATTGACTTTTAAAACACAACTCATTACAAATAATAGTAAAATACTTGAACTTATATTACGAAAAATACAAAATATACATATGGTAATATAAGTTTACCAAAATATTTAGAGCATACACAACTTAACTCTTTAATTACATGCCAACATCCATTTTCATAACAAAATGACATACTGATTAAGTTGCTTCTGATCTGATAGTTGCAGGAGTAATGTTGTCCAGCTGCTTAACCTCGATCATCTACTTTATCGGATCCTACGTGTGAACACTCACACGCTAAGTCATCGACTTAGTGAGACAATATATAATAATAATAATATCAATAAATATAAAGTAATTGCAAAAATAAGAGGGGTTGCAGTAATAAGATGTATGTAAACAATGCAATAACCAAAACCATGTTTCTTACACATATACTTATCAAATTCACATTCATAAATTCGCCTTAGTAAGTTCATTAGCCCATGGTACCATACAGAGAACCTAAGGTATGTGAGTATTGTGAGGTTGTGCACTATGCTGTCACCACAGCTCATATAATTGCACCTTAGTGCCACGTAAAATTGCACCGGAGTGCCGCGTAGAATTGCACCGTAGTGCATATAATAATGTCCATAAGGACCACATATCATTCCTTAAGAATCATATACATATGCCAAGGATCAAGTATGTGTCTCACCAGACTTCACACATGTTCCAAAGAATACATATATGTCCCGAAAGACCACATAGACCCTCTACCCTTGGCATACCAACTATACATATAGTTCTCATTTACATAACATGGGCTTTCACAATTTATCTAATTCATATCACGTAGACATATTATTCCATACCTTTATCATATAACTCATATAACTTTTCTTTCATATTCATGTCCCATAATGCATATGGTATGGATTCATGTCATATATCATCATATGAACTACGATCATGTATCAAAATGTTGAATCTAGACTTATCACAAGTCTAGAACTGAATAAAATACATATTCATGCTATGCATATGCACTCACCTAGATTTCTTTGTTTTTCCCTCGATTGATCCTACTTGTCGATGGTTCTGGAACTCGATTAGGCTCAATATCTACATAAGCAAAATTTTCAAGATGATTATCAGATACCTAAGTCTTGAAATTAACCTCTGATAGCCTACCAATTTAAGAAATTGATAGTTTAGTCTCTCTTCTTTCTTTCTCTCTTTTTTTATTATGGGGGAATCGGTTCCCCCTGGGGGTATCGATTCCCCTCTAGCGTTCTGGAAATTCATATTCGTTTGAGGGGGTATCGATTCCCCTTGAATGGGTATCGATTCCCTAGCCCAGAAATCCTATTTTGAGCTCGAAAATCACTTCATTCCAGCTTAAACCTTCATATTTTACTTCCTTTAATATTCCTAACTTCCATATACATATTTAAACTCATTTCTATTCCATAATCACTTCTTTAAACCCAAAATTCCATCATTTACATGGCATTCAAGAATCACACTAAATTTTCAAGGTGTTCTAATTCCAATTCTAACACTTCATATCCCTTAATTAACTTGATGACAAGTCAAATCTCACTTCCAATTCTTATGAACTCTAATCTAAGATTTCACTTTTTTATTTCCTTTCTTTAATTCTTCATATACTTTCCTTTTGAAGTTTTAAAACAATTTAAACTTCCTTTAAGCTTAACTATTGCCTAATGGTCATGAATCAACCATAAATTCATCAAGAATTCACTAACAAGAAAATCTTACCTTAGCTTGGGTCTCACGTATGAAGAAGAAAAAAGAAGAAAATGACTCTGGAAGCTTGTTTTAATTTCCTACTCTTCCACTTGCTTAATATAATACTAACCCAAAATTATATTACTATAAAAAGACCATTTTGTCCTTCTAATCTTCATTCTTTATAATTCAATCCTACACAAAATAACTCAAATAAGTCATTGAACTCTTCCATCATTCTACTTAAATCACCAAATGTTGAAACTTTACAAATTGATCACTAACCCGGCATGGAGGATGTTACAGATTATATAAGCAATAAAACATAAAACAAATATGTTCACATAATAAAATATTTATACCCTAACATTTAGTTAAATAAATGTTATACCCTAACATTTGTTTAAATTAAAAGTCATATCATAAAATCTTAAGATTACAAAATAGTCTCTTAAATTATACCTAAATTCATAACGATCCAAAATTTTATGATAGGTAGTTAGTGGGTGGGTGGATGGGGGGTGGACGGATGCAGGGAAAGTAAGGTCTCAAACCTATCACCTACCCACTACTCACGGTGGGTATAACTTTTTACAACCATACCCTTCCACTACCTACCAACTTATACCTATCTCCACCTCAATTGGAGCGGTGCGATATGAAATTCACAAAATTGTATCCGTATACCATTCCTAGTTGAGTGGATTAAATGCAGGTAGGGACGAAGGTAAGCATATATTTTGGTACCTCGACTTAGTTACAAGGTGCAATTGGATGCTTTGTTTTTTTCTCCAATTAGGTACTTGGATTTAATTTTAAGGTTCAATTTGATACCTAAAGGTATTATGGTCTAATTAAATACTTAAATTTGGTTTCTTAGTTCAAACTTGTACATGAACTTTATTTTCTAATCTAGATTGATACTTAAGGTGAACATTCATTTAAATCAATTTGAATCATGTAACTGTTTAGACATCAATTGGTACCTAAATGACAAGTTTAGTTAATTAATTGGACTAAAATAATTTAAATGTCAAATTAAACTTTGAAACTAAATTTAAGAGTTTGCTTAGAAACAAAAAAGTCTTATGTATTAAATTGTATATCATCAAGCCAAGTTTAGATTTTAAATTCACATTTACCCCCAATCAAACAAAATAAATTGTATTAAATAGAAGGAGAAATTTATCAATTATTGAGGTTATCAATAATTGTTGATAAATTACTTTAAAATTATATGATTTTATACGATGTTGGTTACATTCAATTTATTGTTTCTCAAACACACACATACATATATAATTGATTTTATAAAAAAAGAGAAAAAATAATATATTAAAAAATCAATTAAATAATTCAAAATGATTTTAAATCGAAGTATCATCATAATAATTCATTTTTTTTGGTTTTGAAAGAGGTGACAGTTTGGAAAGAGGTCATTAAATAAATAAAAAATATAATGATCTATCTGTAATTAATTTTGTTGTTGTTTAGTTTAAATTTTAATAAGAATATAATTAAATTATTTTTATTAAAAATTAGAAATATTTTAAGAATTTTTATTTGTTTAGAATTGAAACACTTAACTTTTTAAGTTTGCAAATCATCCCAGCAGCAACCATCAAAAGATTCAAAATCAATAGTCGACGATTCTATTTATCGTCGGAAAATTACGTTCTTCATGTATATTGTCGTTGTCATTATATTTTTTAGAATTAATAAAAAATGGGTCAATTTGGAAATTAATTTTTATAGTTATATTTGGGCAAATAATCTTTAAAAATAAAGATAAACAAACATCATCATCGACATAAAATGATAAGCACCGTAATGATCACAGAAACTTCAACTTTAGTAATAATAGAACAAAGTAACACATTCATAATTGGTTTATTACAACTCAAGCAAGACATAATTAAAGTGACTGCAAACACCTATCAAGATAAGAGAAGCAACTCGAGGGTTAAAGTAGGAGTAGATTAATCAATTGATGCATTTTATTTACATATGTAAACTAATTATTAAATGACTGATTAAGCTTAGTGTCACGAGTCAACTCAATATAAACTCAACTGAAAATTTACCAAATTATTTTTATTTTAAACTATCATAAGTATTATTATATTTGTATTTCTGTTTTATACTTTTATATAATCTTTAAATAAAACAACTAAACATTATCACATGAAAACTAAACATAAGACCTATGAGTTTTGCTTTCAAAATATTTCATTTTGAGATAAAATAATTATCCGTTAATGGAAATTATTAATCAACAAACAAGCTGAAGATAACTCAATAGGTGCATGTAGACAAAATTCCAACGTGACATATTGACATATAATGCCACATCATCATGTCATACCAACAATTTTTATTTAAATTAATTTCATATAACGTCATTATCTGATTGGTTTAAGATTCAAAACTAAAGAAATTAAAATTTGAGCTTAACAAAGTTTGAACCTAAGTCTAGTGAGTAAAGCTCAATTCATAACGATTAACCAACCTACTATTCAGTTACATTTTTGTAAGAAATTTATTTATGTTAAATATATTGATTTAAAATAAAAAAATATTATTAAACTCATTAAGTGATTTTAATTATTAAATAAATTCTATCTAAAGATATTAAATTTAAATAACTGTGTCTGCACCACGTGTTACTATTACTCTAAGCAATTAAAATTTAATGAACAAAACAAGCTAAAATACTTAATTGATTACATCTTTCCAACTTACATAAATAGTGGCTGTCAAAGAAGAAGATACAACAAACTTAGAATATCTATTATTGAGCTTTAAAGTAAGTTGGAAAGACAATTCGATTCTTTTTTCCGAAAGAAGATTTCCAACCATCAATACTTGGAATTTTTATTATTAAATTTCTTAGCTAACTAAGAAGACGACCGGGAACTTTTCTCAACAAAAGATCTCCAACGAGAAATACTATATTTATCTTCAATTTTTTTTAGTAAGCTGAGAAGACGAGTCATGATTTTTCTCAAGGGAAGGCTTCCAACCAGAAATGGTAGAGTATATATCCTCAAGCTCCTTAGTGAGTTGAGAAGACAACTCGGGATTTTTCTCTACGGAAGAAATACTATAATATTTATCTTCAATTTTTTTAGTAAGCGGAGAAGATAAATCATGATTTTTCTCAAGGGAAGGTTTCCAACCAGAAATACTTGAATATATATCCTCAAGCTCCTTAGTGAGTTGAGAAGACAACTCGGGATTTTTCTCTATGGAAGAAATACTAGAATATTTATCCTCGAGGTTCTTAATAAGTTGAGGAAAATCTTTCACAGCATTTCTAGTGTCGTGGTAGTAAGCATCATCCCCTTGTTTTTCTCTCAAATCCTTCACAGCATATATCCCAAGGCCACTCTGCATGACAGTTTTAAAGAGTCAAGAGTTGGACCTAAAGTACAAATAATATAGTTGAAAACAAAGAAATTGCAGATTATACCGTCAAAAGTAGAATTTGAAACAAAAGAGCCAAATAGGAACATGGAAGACCCATCTTCTTCTTGCTTGCTTTCTTTTTTCTTATTCTTTTAAGTCCTTTTTAGCTTTGAAGGCTACAATGCCTTTTTATAGGCAAAGTTTTAACCTTCCTTTGTTGTGGTTCATTATGGGTCAATTTATGTATTAACGTTGGTATTATGTTTAAGTTATAGATTGAATCCTAATACCCTAATTTGATCACTTTTAGTTTTTCAAATTTTCAAATTTCAATCTTTTAACTTAATTGTGCATGGACAATAAGATTTGGGGAGTAAACACATAATACAATAACTAATAGAAAAATTTAACTCAACATATCTAATGACTATTGTTTAGGAATGGCAGAACGACCCAAACCCGACGGGAAAACCCGAAACCCGACTAAGTTCGGGTTGGGTCGGGTTTGATTATCGGGTGGGTTGGGTATCGGGGATTTTTTCGGGTTCGGGTTCAGGCAAGGTATCCCGCCCCGCCCCGATATATATATATATATATATATATATATATATATATTTATATATTTTATAATAATTACATATATAATAGTTTATATTTTATATTATATATATATATATATTATTTTATATTTTTTATATTAATTATATAATATAAACCCTAAACCCTAAACCCTAAACATTTAAACCCTAGCTTTTATAATTATTAAAGTGAAATTTGGTTGATTTTTTGATAAATTTCTCAATGTAGGGAGCTATCAAAGAAAGTGACAAAAGTGGCACGACGATTTTGGATGACTTTATTTGACTTAATATTACGTATGCATCTTCGTTGAATGATTTGAATATCGGAACAAGTTTGTATTTAATTATGTATGTTTTTTATTTTGGAGTTTAGACAATTATTTAGAATTGGGTTTGAATTTGTGATTGTAGTTTGAATTGTAAATCATGTAGACTAATTTTTCAAATTTTTTGTGATTTTTTTCTATTTTTTTTATGAAAACTACGATTGCTCGGTTTTTTTCTCGGGATCGGGTCGGGTTTGGGTTCTCGGGATCGGGTCGAGTTCGGAGACAGGGCAAAAAAATCTCCGACGAAGTGCCCCGATAAAAAAACCCGACGGAGAATGGGGCGGGGACGGGGGGAGCAAAACCTGCCCCGAACCCGCCCCGTTGCCATTCCTACTATTGTTGAGATCATGATCAATATTTTGACAATATAAAGATTAAAAATAATCTAATTAGAATATTGGGACTAAATACGAAACTAACACATAGTGTAGGACTAATACAGGAATTTGAGCATTATTATGGCCGTTAAGATTTTCTCACATTTATAATATTAGACTATTATTATATATGTATGAATATATAAATATGCAGAAAAACTATATTTTATTTTTATTATATATTTATTAAATTATTTTAATTTATTTTTAATGTGATTCTTTTTTTTAAATGAAAAATAATTTAAAATAAAAAATATATCAATTAATACATGTTAATACGCGTCAATACATACAAAATTACATTGAAATAATTGAATACTATCAAAATTTTAAAACAAAAAAAATATTGGACAACGATTTAAAATTGAAAGAGTAAAATATGGAGTAATCTCACTAATAAAAAAGAATATTATTATTTTTGAAATATTTAAATCAAACGGATACATATATTTATTATAAATGAATTATTTTTTTTTTTGATAAAATATTATTTTATTATTACTCCAAATTATTATGGTTATTATCGAGATTGTCCCTACAATAACAGTAAAAAGAAAAAAATATCAATCAATAATTAAATTAATTATTTGTATATGATAAACATAACTCGTATGTTATGTCGCTGAGTTTTCTCAATTATTTTCTGTCTCTAATAAAAGTACATGGGGACAATTTTCTTTGTCGTTTACAATCAAGTTGTTTTTAATAATATGAAGTGATTATGGCGTATATACTGTGTAAATGTAATTATTTGAGTTTAGAATATTTAAAAATAAAAATATTTTCATTTATCATTGTAATCATTTGATGAATTCAATATTTCAATTATTTTTGACGGTTTATTTAATATATAATCAAAATATTGCAAAGTTTTAATAATTTTATGTATATAAATAAAATTTAATATCATTTTAGATATATATTTAAAATATTAAAATTTTCTAAAAAGTATATATATTTTAATTATATTACATATATTGATAAAATTTTAAGACATCTATATTTTTTTATATCTTAAAATAAGTTTTTATTTCTTGCAAAAAATTCCCATAAAGTTATCACCACTCGATTGAAATTAAGAACAAGAACTTTGATGCCCAAATGTTTTGATATATTTTTTAAAATAGAAGTAGTTAATTTTATTAAGTATATAATTGAGATATTTTTCTATAATCATTAACACAAGAAATTAGTCACTTAAAATCATACAATGACCATATAAGGAAAAAGCTAAAAACCTAACCAAAATACTCAAAAAAAGATTAATACAAATAAATCTGACTACATCGATAATTAAACCACAAAAGGAGATACAAACTAGTGAAAGACCATCGACAAACCACGTAATTTAGGTACTGAAATAGATCAAAATTAATAATTTAAGAGATACAAAACGTGTAGTTTATCCTATAAAATAAAAAAATTGTATATAAGATACCATGTACAGAGTCCGCGGATACCCAATTAAAAGATATTTTGTGATCTAAGCTCGACTTGAAAACCCAAAAAAAATCTGAATATTTTTGATCGGGTTGGCACATTAGATAGTAGGGTCAAAATATTTTTGAACATTCCTATTTGTAACTGTGTCCGTATTATTAACAACTAATAAAAAATTATAAATATATACTATTTTATAATCACCCTACAATATTAAAAAATTCATCAAATTTTATTTGTATTTTTTTAAGAATAAGGTTAATTTTTTAATTATAATATTAAATTTTGAAAAAATATATAAAGAGATTTTTTTATATAAGTGAAAAATAAATAGTGGATATCAATTTTATTTTGAGAAATTAAAAACTACATATTTGTAATGGGAAATGCTTTATACTGTCCGCGAAATTACCTGCCAATAATTTATAATCAGGTTTAAGTAAAGCTGGCCAAACTTGAAACTGTAGCATTTATTCTATATATATATAATTCATCTAGTCCAGGAACACGATCTCCCATTGCAGCACCTCATTTGCCTGTTGGAAGGATGAAATTTCATATCAGATCTTCACCATCGTGCAATTTCACACATTCAGTTTGCCAGAAACATTAAGAACCACTCAGTAGTCTCATGAAAACAAAATTGATTTGAATAGCTCACTTATTAACTAAATAAATGGACATTTAGGTTAGTTGTTGAACGGTATAAACTGTACCAGATAATGCTAGAACACAGAGAAACAAACTTGGAGCTTTACAGAAAATGGCATGAAGAAATTTGAAGTGATTACCTTAATTCTAGTTTGGCACACTCTTCCTTTACCAGTTCTGTTCTTTTACTATCGAAAAACATTTTGGTTTTCTTTTTCCTTTTTTTTTTTACTTTTCACATTTCAACTTGCATATTGGTACTAGGAGAAAACAGAGAGTGCAAGTCAAATGGTAAACTACTTACCATAGTTTTGCTGCACCGTTGTGAATCTATAAATTGCCTTGATTAGTGATCCATATGTCATAGACTTCAAGGGTCCCATATGTCTATAGAAAAGAATAATAAAAATATACTCAGAGCATGGAAGCAGGATTTATTCACACAAAAAAGGGTGGTCAAAAGTTATGCAATTACTGTAACTTTCAGCTCTTAAGTAGAATCTACACAGACACTACATCCACAGTCAGTACTCAGGACAAGACTGCAATAGTTTAAGCCAACCGATCATGCATAAAAAGAAAACAGAAAATGCAGAGTTCATAGCAACAATATCATTACTTTTCCCTTTAAATTGCAAACAAAAAATGAAAACAGGAGGCTACACATGAATTATATTTTGCTGTGTATAAAAAGCAAAATCCTTCAAATCTACTTTTCTTCAGTTTTTCTTTTTTGTTCTTTTTTCTTTTTCCTTCTATAAAGAGAATGGTGCACTGAGGAATAGACAATTTAGAAAATTGTAGATTCATAAATCAGTCAGAGTCCCGAATAAGCATCTTTAGCAGATAAGAAAACAACAGGATACTTTCCTTGATTCCCAAGAATTTTGGTCAAGAGATACTCACTGAATCTCAGTATATCGCATTCTCCAGGCAGGGAAACCTAAGTGGCACCTGGCAGGTCCATATATCAATATAAGATCAGGTTCTGGCCCAGCACTGCCTAATAGAGAAGAAGATTCCCAAACATCAAATTAACAGAGCAAACAAAACTGGTTGTAATAACTAATAAGTAGATCACAAACCAACAGTTTTGAGTGCCTCGCTCAATTGAGATTCAGTGAAGATTTGCTCTCCCTGATTTGAGCCAGTGCCACCTGATTTTATGTACTTTGTACGAAGTACATTGGCTGCTCTAGCAACCGCTTCTTTCCCATCAGAAAATGATACAAACTCCAAAGTCATACGTGGTTGGTCTAGTAGCACATTATTTTCATGATTATCCTGCATAAAATAGATCACCAGTTAGCAGTAGTTTAGCACATTTAGTAACATTCCGTTTGTATCAATGTATGTCGTAAAATGATCCAACTATTTGATACATAACTGGAGCTAAGCAGACATATGGTGCATGAAGTAAGCTCCTTAAACTAAAGTTTTGAGAAAGAAACCAAATAAAGAGTCCAATGAGTACAACAAGCACTATAAATCTTACAAATGTGTATCATACTTTTAATAGGATTTTTGAGGTTTGTACGCTGCAAAGTGAACCTTAGTAATGCAACTAAAATAGTTTGGTAGTTTAGTACCGTAAACCTTCAACTATGAAAAATCAATCTGATGTTGTACCACATGACCGTTTGGTTTTCAACTGATCAGCCATTTAGCCAATTTATAGTGTATATTGTTAATGAATCACGGAAAACTATGAAAAAATCTACCTTGACAATGAGCAGAGAGGATAGTACCTGAAACAATACTGCACCATCGAACTGCTCCAAGATGAAGTCTTTTGATTTCTTCAGTATTCCTACAACAGAGAAATGGTATCAAATACTACGAATTGTGGATACATCTTCACCTGATCAATCTAGAAACGGTGAGAATGCAGAATTCCGACCTTCGTTATCATAAAGGGAAACATGCTTGATACCAAGAGCTTCCAGCCATTGCAAAAGCTCAAAAACATTCGAAGTTCGGCATGCATCTTCACTTTCAATCACAATAGCCAGATACTGGATCTTGGATATATGGAGGGATTTGTATTTCCTCAGTAACCCCCGGGAGATAAGACAGCCTTCAAGTGCATGCACCATACCGATCGTAAAGTAGAATAGGTAGATAATAGCATGAACGAGACGCTATGATAATCGAAGTAGAATATTTCCAATCTGCACGAAACCTTGAACCAAAAATGAAAATCTAAAATCTAGTACAATTGAAAGACATAAAATTCACTCAGCACATCAGCCATGATAATTTGACAGAAAATTCATCACTAATAAGCTTCAAAGTCCAATCTTGACCATTACATAAGAAAAAGGAATATATAATTAAAAATTAAAATCTATCCAACAAAAGCGGTTTACAAATCAAAGCGTTGAAGTTTGAACAATTAGGAAGTACAGGTATTCGAAAATCCATGCGCAATATTATTTTTTTATATCAACTATTCACAGAAAATTCAAGAGTAAGAGAAAAAAAAACCCATCAAAGTAATGCTAGTAAAAAGATAAATTAAAAAAATCAGTAATCACATACTTTATTAATCCAGAAACGCAAAATCCGATTTAGCCTTGTGAAATCCATTGATCTCTGAAAGCAAAGAAAGAACCCAATCAATGATTAAAAAAATGTAAATTGTTTGATAGGAATCGTTTGCGAAATTAGCTTGAGAAAGTGGAATCGGGCATCTTACATTTAAACATAAGCAACGGAGTAGAGGTTAGCTAAATCGCAGTTTAGGCCTTCGAGCAAAAGGAATTCGATAAATTCAAAAGGAAATAGAAAATAGAAAGGTCCGGGAGAGATTTGAGAAACCATGAAAGCAAAATCAACAGCTGAGCAGCTAGCTTTTTGGAGATTAAGAAGAGGATGAAATGTAGAGAGGAAGCAGTTCCAAAACGTGACTAGTGAAGAGAACGTTGATGTAAGGAAAAACATTGTTTTTGCGTTTTTTCCGGGGAAATACACTATTGATTAAAAATTATTATTATTATGGGTAAATTACACAAATGCTACTCCGACTATAGAATACTATTTAGTTGAATCTACCGACTATTAAAAGGTACAAAATGATTCCTAGACTATATGACATTGCTTTGTTGAGTACCCCGACTATTAAAAGTTACAAAATGATCTTCTGACTATTCATATGTTCTAAACTCATCATTTTCATTAAAAAATTGACGGTAGTCTGAGCTGGACATTAATCTATTGAATGAGATATGATAAAATATAATCTCATAATCTTAAACGACTATTATATCTCAGTCAACATGTTAGCATTTAGCTTAGGTTACCGTCATTTTTTTAAAGAAAAAAGATAAGTTTGGAACACATGAATAGTCAGGTGATCATTTTGAAACTTTTAATAGTTTGGGGACTCAAAAAGTAACATCTTATAGTCGATGGATTATTTTACAACTTTTAATAGTCAAGAGACTCAACAAATCAATTCCTTATAGTTGTTAGACCATTTATGTACTTTATCCTTTTTATGCGGAGTCAGTATTTGATCAAATTGATTCAATTCGAGTGAAAATTTTCAAGTTAATTAAATTGATAAGTTATATTTTATCGTTCAACTTTTATTTGAATTTTTTGAGTATATTCAAAATTTTCAATTTTATTTAACCATATAAAATATGCGTATGTTTTTCTTCGTATTTTTTCATAAATAATATTATTTAAGAAATCAAATATCATCTAAAATTAATAAATATATTTATAATATTATCTTTCAAAGCAAATATTTTAAAGGTAAAATATAAATAAGAATATAAAAGAGTCAATAAATTGATATGAAGAAATAATATGTAAAATATTATAGTCGAAAGACTAAATTGAATAAAATATAAAATTAAGATATTAAATTATAGAAAGATTAAATTTATTTTAAAATTTAAATCAATATCACTTAAGTATTGTTATACCTTTTGAATTTGCTTGGAGCCTTTGGTAATTTCATATCTTTTGTAAATATTTTGTTTCTTCTTATTATTATTTTTAAGGCAATGGTTTTGTAAAATAAATTATTTTTAAATTATTATTACATTATTTATAACATAATTTAAAAAAAATTACATATTAGTCATGTTTCAAATCATCAATTTCAGTGAATTTAATAAGTAAATTATTACAATATAAGAATTATTAAGAAATCAATAGTGTTAGTTATCATAATGTAACTTTTGAAATAATAATGATCAAAATGAAAATCAGCTAAATATTAGGTACATTGACTGTAGTTTATCCTGTAATACTACTAACAAGTAACAAATTAACATTTAACAATGCCCATATGGCACAAGGCATTTCATTTCATAGTAAAACCCTAATCCCAAAAATGAGGAAATTTTGGGTGATTTTTGTGGCTTCGATCTCGATCCTTCTTCCATTTCTATGCAATTCTTTCTCTCCCGAGATTCCTACCGATCGCCGTGTTCTGGTCCTTCTCGATGACTTGGCCATCAAGTCGTCTCACTCTTCCTACTTCAACTCCCTCAAATCACGCGGCTTTGACCTCGACTTCAAACTCGCCGACGATCCCAAGATCGCCTTGCAACGCTACGGCCAGTATCTCTATGATGCGTTGATCCTATTCTGCCCCTCCGTTGAACGTCAGTTGTCTCACATTTGCTTTTTCCTTATTTTAATTGTTTCTAAATGAATTGTGTCCGTTTCCTTTTTTAATGCGTTTTTGTTTGAAGCGGTGATTAATTTATTTTGTTTTAATTAGGATTTGGGGGATCTATTGATGTTGCTTCCATTATCAATTTTGTTGATTCCGGTCATGATTTAATTGTTGCGGCTGATGTTAATGCTTCTGATTTGATTCGGGAAGTTGCCACTGAATGTGGAGTTGATTTCGATGAGGTCAGATGTGTTTATATTCTCTGATTTGATGATTCATGTTTTGTTATTGCATCACTTGATTGTGTATTGAATCTTCCTTGTTCGTAGGATCCTTCGGCCATGGTTATTGATCACATTCGCTATGCAGTTTCAGAAACTGAAGGAGATCATACTTTGATTGCCTCTGATGATTTGATTAAGTCTGACGTGATTTTAGGAAGCAAGAAAATTACAGTAAGTATTAATGCCTGCATTTTTAGTCTTACTCCACTCGGTAGGTTATCTATGGTTGTCCAAGCATTAATCTACTAATTTCAGGTTGTTTCAATCATGATAAAATGGTGCATACAAGCCCCTTTTTGGGTTGCTGTTTGCTAGTACTTTTATACTGCATTGATGTTCTGGAGCTGCTTGCCTATGTACGACCTTCAATTATTTCTTTGATGTAAATATATTGCCAGTCACACATTTTATGAGCTTATATTTAATTCTGATATATCGGTTGAAGCTCATTGTATGTTATGCAGTGATTGTGATTATGGTGACAGTAGTTTTAATAATTTTGCCTCAGGCTCCTGTACTTTTCCAGGGCATTGGTCATTCACTGAACCCTGTCAATAGCTTGGTAAGCTGCTTGCATCTGGTTTCAAAGATTTTTTTAAAACGATAATCAATTTATTATTGACCAGAACCTCCTTTTTTGGTCACCTTGACATTGGCACTATTTTTAGGTGTTAAAGGTTCTCTCAACTTCTCCATCTGCCTACTCAGCTAATCCCAAGTCCAAGCTGTCAACTCCACCATCGTTGATGGGTTCTGAAATCTCCTTAGTTTCAGTTGTCCAGGTATGTTAGTGACGACTGTTCATGTCTTCTAAACATCCCAATCATGAACCTCTATCCATTCCATCTTATTTTAAGATAGTTTTACATTAAATGCAAGAAGCTTATTTTGATTTATTATATCCTTCTGTAGGCAAGGAACAATGCACGAATTTTGATTTCTGGTTCACTTAGTATGATCAGCAACCGGTATGTGGTATATTAACTTTTTTAAACTGAGCTTCCTTGATGAATTTGTCTTCTTTCGATTTTGAACTTGATAACATGTCATGTTTCTTGATGAACTCTTAAAAATATTTTCAGATTTTTTAGATCTGGCGTGCAGAAGGCTGGGAGCACAACCAAGTGAGTGAATCAGTAACTCTCTGAACTACCCTTTCATTATAAGATCTGGGAAATGTTAAACAGGTCTGCAGCAATTGATTCTCGATAAATTGAAAGAAACAGCTAACATGATTTTAGGCTCTAAAACCATCATAAGAAAGTTCATGTTAAACATTTTATATATCTTCTTATTCTTTGAGATTGGAACCTGATGCATTTCCACGTTCATGATCATTTTATGCCTTTGCACTTTTTTCTAAGTGCATACTATTTGTTTATCTAACTTTACTAGAAATGTTCTTTCTAATGGCAGACATGAGAAATCAGGTAATGAGCAATTTTTTACTGAACTTAGCAAATGGGTTTTCCATGAACGTGGTCATCTTAAGGTAGGCATATTGATATACTTTGTCAGTTTATAAATATGATTCTTGTATTTCAACTTAATTTTCTGGCATCTGCTTCCTTTTTTCTTTAATGTGTATGTATGGTCTGATTTAACTCATGTTTTGATCTTTAGGCTGTTAATGTAAAACACCACAAAGTTGGAGAAACAGATGAACCTGCTTTGTACAGGATTAATGATGAGTTGGTAATTCATGCACTTTGTACAATTTTTTAATGCAAATACCATTTTGCAGAAATTAACTGAAAAGAAATGGGTGTGTTTCGTGAAGGTGTACTCTCTTGAGATCTATGAGTGGTCTGGATCAAGCTGGGAGCCATATGTTGCTGACAATGTCCAAGTCCAGTTTTACATGATGAGCCCCTATGTTTTGAAAACTTTATCAAATGACAAAAAGGTTGTTACTTATTCTTAAGATTATATGGTTTGTGATATAAGCTTGCTTTTAATATGAAGTCATCCATTTGAAAATATTGGTCCATTCTTGTATTGCAGGGTCTCTATTCCACGTCATTTAAGGTTCCAGATGTTTATGGTGTTTTCCAGTTCAAGGTTGAGTACCAAAAGCTTGGGTATACGAGCTTATCCCTTGCAAAGCAGGTACCTTTTGTTTCTCATGATTCTACACTATCTCTCTTGAGATCTAATTCTCTTACTGATTATCTCTTTTTTTTTTCCTTTTCCTTTTCCTTTTCCTTTTCTGGAAACAACTTGTAATAGAAATTGAACTTCTCAAAAGATCAGTACAAGAGAGCGAATGATATTGATTTATATCTAGTAATTTTCATCTAACTAATATTGTTATTTGTAATTGGTTCCGGGGCGTATTACATATCATGGAGTTTTTATTTTGCAAACGTTGTTTCTGATTTTGTTGTGTAAATTACCAAATCATTGATTTGCATTGCAGATTCCAGTCAGGCCATATAGACACAATGAATATGAAAGATTCATACCAACTGCTTATCCCTACTATGGTGCAGCATTTTCTACGGTATTACTATCACTCTCTCCTTTCTTCTATGTTAGGTGGACTTAAAAGTGAGTATTGAATATGGATATTGGTCGGATATGCTTAATTTTTTTTGGGGACTTTCTTACATATATTTGGAGGCCATACTTGTAGACCCATACGTGAAAATGTGTCGGATTTAAGTGTCCCAACACGAGTGATTTAAGAAAATGAAAAGAATTGGCGAAGGAGTTATTTGAACAAGATAACATCATTGGCAGCACCACCATAATTAATGTGAATTCGTAGAGTGAAGTATTAACATATGATATGGGTTTTTGATGCAGATGGCAGGATTCTTCATATTTTCTTTTGTCCATCTATA